TTTAAAAGATGATGACAACATATGTAAAGATGTGCTTGACAAAATGGATACATGTATGGGTTGTGATAAGAGCTGTAAGAGCCCCCAATAAAAAAAAACAAACTACAGCTGGCCCCTGTCCTATGGTTATGTAAGTGGGCATTCTTATTCTGAGGACATACCCACTCAAGTATTTAGACATAGAGGACCAGGATTTAGGCAACTGCCCTTTAGTGATGATGCAAATGGGGCCAATGGTCAACCAGACGTGAATCTGGGTGGATTATCTGGGTGTTCTCTGTACTGTTATTCTGGTATCTTTTCTATAGGCATAAAATGATCTATAAATAAAATGTTAACAATAAATAAATACAATGAAAACAAAGACAACTTCTGAATAAGAGCTCAAGATGTGTACTCTGAGAAACGCAGTGGGCTCATAAGTGCCCATGACTTATGGCTAGCCAGGACTGGGCACACAGAAGGAACCAGGTCCTCGGGCCCAGGACCAGGCACACAGAAGGAACCAGGTCCTCGGGCCCAGGACTGGGCACACAGAAGGAACCAGGTCCTCGGGCTCAGGACCGGGCACACAGAAGGAACCAGGTCCTAACCAATCTGATTACTTTCCATTTTGCCCTTGGAAAGACTGAGGCCTCGTTCTGAATAGGCCCTAACTGGAAGACAATAGTGGGAACACAGAGTCCTCATGATCAGAGTGTGCCTTTGGTTAAAATTTCCCAAGGGTGTTCTGCCCCAAAGCAACACACAGTCTCACCCAGGCCAGGGCCTGATTCCGTCCTAGGACACATGGGCCACTCGTGGCTGATACGATGTAGTTGTACTTCCAGGAAATGTTTCTCACCGGGCGAAGCTGGACTCTGGAAGCACAACTGAAAGGCTACAAATGCTGAAAGAAGATGGCAGGCAGAAAGCAAAGGGGAAAAAATCTCATCGAGGAATTCATGTTAAACAACCATGAACCTGAAAAGATGTCCTCTCTCCCTCCAGCCAAGTGAGATTCACCTGGAAGTGCTCTAACCACTCCAGATGACAAGGAGCATCAACACCGTCAAAGCAGACAAACAGCCCCTGTCCCGAGCATGCGTGCAGTGTCCAGGGGAAGGGGCCAGTGGAGGCCAGGCAGGTGAGCAGTGGGAAAGGCATGTGGCACTGGGCTGAGAGGAAGCGGCAGGAGAGATGACTAAGCAGGTCATAGGCTGGGTACCAACGGGGTAGGGAGGGCATGTGGGCAGCAGAGTAGAGGGGACTGGGGAGAGGCCATGCCAGTGGGAGAACAGTCCTGGCACTTTGGAGGGCAGTGCATGTGCTGGAAAACAGAGTGCCTGGCATCGGGTGGGACCTAGGAGTGGGCCCCGGGGAGATGGCCTGTGGAATGTGAACAGAACCCTCACATGATGGGCAGCCATGGAAGGACCTCCGAGGGCAGTGCCACTTCCTGATTTGCACGTTAGCAAGACCACCCACGGAACGGCGAGAGCAGATGATAGATAGTCAGACCAGCCTGTCTTCTCCCTTCGACCAGAATCAGTCTTCACTCAGGATCAATAGGTTGATGTTCTAATTGACTTCGGAATTCTGGCACGTGCTCACACAGAAATGACATGTCTTTCCCTTCACGTGCCCATTTCCCCTTCGATGTGTGCTGGGTTTAAAGCTGGAATGAACTCAGAGGGAAAAGAGAGTCATCGATAAAGTGGTAGAATTTATCATGATTCATTGATCGTTATTAGGGAAGGGGGTAAAAGTTTGTCAAAGGAACATCTGTCAGAGGACAAATGGCAACCTGCGCCCGCAGAGGCTTCTGGCCCCACCAGGAGACGAGGTGGGGAATCAGGAGGAAAAAAAGCTTCGAGAGAAGCCAACTGTGGAAATGAGAGACGAGACAGGCTTGCCTGCGAGCAGAGTCCGGGCTATGAGCAGCACCCCTATGCTAACCTGCTGCGGACACACTGGCAGTTTCTTATCGTCCTGCCTACAGGCCGCTGACCAATGGGTCTTTCGGAGTCCCGCCCAGTTACAGGAGGTATACAGGGGCTCGGTGACAAGTGCATCTCCACCAAGAGAAAAAGGTCCCACTCTTCCACTCTCCTCGTTACTGAAATACAACACAGGCAGCATCTTGTGAGGAGCCATCAGAGTGAAAACGGCTGGTGTCAAGGGAAGGGTGGGGGTGGGGATGGGGAGTGGGGGCAGGTGCTGCAGTAGAAAATCCATATCTGGAACACCCCATCCTGCCCGATGTGCCCTACACCCAACCACGCCCAACTGGATCTGATGCCCTCAGGAAGGGGCGCCTATAAAGCACACCCGGAGGAAACGGTGGGAACCGACCCTGGGAAGAGGGTCAGGATGGCAACCGTCCTCGACACTTAAGAATGGAGACACTGTGACCTCATCGTTTTTGGTGTGAACAGTGGCTGATAGACGGTCGACACCCACTCAAACTCGCCCACCGGTTGCCCCGCCCCCTTCACACTGCACACTCACAGCGTCGAATCTGCTAGCTCCCTCGTGAAGTCACACCACCGCACCGAGGGCGCCCTGGCATCGGCAGTCATGTCCACTCTAGTAAAGTGAGCTGTATCCATGCTCTCCCTCCTCTTGGCGTAGACCTTACACATTGGCTTTGGGAACAGACACACTCATATAGCTGGCAGCTAAGGGCTACTATGGTCGAATTCTCTCAGAGACCCTAGGTGAACTGACACTAATGAGGCTTCAATCCTTTACAACACGTGGAGTGCTATTTCGGGTCCTTCCACTGAACCATTCTAGGGGGTGGGCTGTTAGAAATCTAGCCTCTGGTGGTGTGCTTCACAGGGTGCTGACGTCACACTCACTCACTTAGGATTCTGATTTTCTCTGGTTGCCAAGACAGCAACAGTTGCTGTGGAAATCACCGAGAAACAGGGAAGCGCGAGGCCACTCACCTGCACAAAGATGCCCTTTCTCTTATACTCCTCGTGGAGGCACTGAGAGAAGAAATCGACGAAAGTCTGGGAGGGGCGGGCGGGAAGAAAACACACCCATTACATCAATCGGCCTAATTCGCAGCCATGGAAACAGTAACACACACACACACACATCACACACACACATCCCACACACAGAAAGTGAGTAGGCAAAACCAAGAAACATTCTCCTTTCTAATCATTCTTTTTCAAATGCAGAAGAAACCTTTAAAAAAAAAGCCTCTGGCTGTTTTGTTTCTATCACTAAATGACATACTTTCTTACCAACTAGAATATTCACATCGAATTCTGATTTAACTGGGAAAAGGTACTCCTTATCCCTTAAGTCGTTCAGACAATTCCTCTCAAAGAGGTCGATGTTTGAAATTTGATGTAACAAAAGCTGCCGCTCTTCGCTCTGACTTGCCCCTCTGACAGAAAGGCAGTGTGGACTCTGTTCCGCTCTGTGCTGTGGGGAGTTGCTGTCGGAGGAGAGGAGAGGAATGCGCATCCCCGTGGACCTCTGGGACGGCGAGACCCAGCAAGTGTGAAGGAGAAAGTGACGGCCTGTCTTCCTCTGAAAACACACCCTCCGCCCTCAGAACATCAAGTGCCCTCGTGTCAAATACGGGCCCTGCCTCCAGGAGACCCACAATACCAATAACGACCCTGCAAATCCACCGCCATGGAGCCAATTTCTACTCACAGTGGCCCCGCAAGGCAAGGCAGAACTGTTCCTAGGAGTAGACTGCCCTTTCTCCTGAGGAGTAGCTGGTGGCTTTGAACTGCTGACCTTGGGGATCACAGCCCAACTTGGGACCACTACACCACCAGGGCTCCTAACAAATTTTTTTTGGAAAAAAAGACAACCCAGCAGAGCCATCGTGCCCCAGGGCCCCCCCATGACTGGACAAGCGCCCCAGCTCGGGCAGCCCTTTCTTCCCAGCAAGGGAAGTGGCTGCTTGTCTCCAAGGCTGAAAAAGCAGCCGTGCTTTTTCCAGCGACGGCGGGACTGCTGAAGCGCTTGCTCACCTTGGTGGCCGAGTAGACAGTCAAGAGTGGGACGGGGTTCATGCCGCTGGCGGAGGAGATGTTCAGAATGACCCCTTTCGACCTACAACGAAACCCCAGCCAGTCAAAGGGGTGAAAGCGCATGCCCGGTGTCCACGAACGATGACCCCAACAGCAGCTCCTTCCGTGGAGCAGGTGCCATGGCTGTTGTTCCCACCTGTGGGTGTCTCCCCTTGCTTTCGCTGATGAACTAGGAATAGTTCATCTGAGTGATTAGCTCAGCCCTGGGTTTGTCGTCTAGGGTGAGACCGGCTCTTCCCTCTCCCTCTAAGGTCTTCCCTGGACACAGCACCGAGGAGTCTAGCTCTTGGAGATGCTCTCTAAGTTCCTGTTGTCCTTGTGCGTAGTCAAGTCAGTTCTACCTCACAGGGTCTCCTGGGCTGTAACATTGATGGGAGCAGATAGGCAGATCTTTTCTCACATGGAGCCACAGGGGGACTCGAACAGCTGTCCTTTTGATTAGCAGCAGAGCACTTTACCAAGTGCCGCCAGGGCTCCTCTTGCCTCCCAGAGGGCACCTTGTTTTGGCCCCCCATCAGGTGCTGCCTGGTGGGGCATTCTTTATCCCATGAGAGTTGGATCCACTCCCCCGCCCAACCAGACCCAAAGCTTCTGGAAGTCATAGCCCTCGTTTCAGAAGCACCCAAAAGACCCGTACTTGATAAAACCTCCTGGCAGTGAACAGATGCTGATGACCTGCCCCCTCACCTTCCTTAGGCAAGAGACAGATACCCAGGCACAAAACAAAGCGTCCCCTATAGATTTGAGAGTTTCCAGTTTTGTTATGATCTTTTATCAAAAGGGAAAGCTCAATCTCTAATGGAACTTTTAGGAACCATTGAAAGAAAAAAACAGAGTCACCAAGAATTTCTAACTCTATCAATAAGTGAATATCAATTTATATATAAAACAAAAGAAAAGAAAGAGTCCCTGGGTGATACAGAAAGGTAGAAGGCTGAAGTCTACTCAGGTGCCTCAGAAGAAAGGCTGGTGACCCCTCCGCCCCCAACTCAGCCGCTGAAAACCCCGTGGAGCAAAGCGCTGCTATGGCACACCTGGGCTTGCCATGCATTAAAATGGACCTGATGGAAATTTGAGGGTGTGGGTGGCGGTGAGGTGTAGTTGACAAAGAGCAATGTGAAATGTAACAGTTGTGGGGAACGTGTGGAATTGTAGTTGCAGGAACTTCTGACAGAATTGACAAGCCACCCTTCCCTCTCGGACCTCTTCTTCTCAGGGGGTCCCCTTTTTCAGCCCCCTGGCCCCGTCACCACTCTTCCCCCCCAGCCTGGCTGGCAGACCAGGTCCCTTCCTCCGGCCCAGTTTCTCACGGTCCTCCTTCCAATGGACTTCTTCAAGGCCCCCGTTTTGCGTGTCGGGGGAGTGGGAAGGGGAAGCATGGACTATATAGACCAGCGGTTCTCAACCTGTGGGTCGCGACCCCTTTGGGGGTGGGGTGGGGTGTCAAATGACCTTTTCACAAGGGTCCCCGGATTCATAACAGTAGCAAAATGACAGTGATGAAGCAGCAATAAAAATAATTTTATGGTTGGGGGGGGTCACCACAATATGAGGAACTATATGAAAGGGTCACGGCATTAGGAAGGTTGAGAACCACTGATATAGACTCTATGCAAGATCATCAAAGTAATAATTAAACGGCATTTGAGTGACATAAATCTGAAAAGAAGTCATCCCCAAAGGTCACCTGTTCCATCTGCCAGCCTCAGCCACTTCCACCAGCGAAGGGCATGTGGGCTCTCAGCTCCACGCCAGTCACAGAGACCAGGGGCAGTTCCTTGCTTGCGTTTCTTTCATTTGCACAGAACTCCTGCTTGGACACACCTTCCTAATAGGCAGGCGAATCCATGAGGAATTTGGAGCTAAACATCAAACTTCAAAATTTTTATTAGGGTTTGGAAAAGAATTGGAAATAGTTCTTTAATGCATTTCGTCCACAGGGATTTCTGAGCTTCTGTTTTTGGGGTGTTTTCCCTTATAGTGTCTCTCTCAGAGACAGAAAAGGCTTTAAAAAATGCTTGTTTGTGTTTAAGTTCGCATCAGGAATGAGAACTTGGCCTTTCTAAGATAAAAACCGTGAATGAGCACGCACGTACACCAAGTGACTTTTACTTTCCGCCATTTGTGAGAGACGACTTTGATCCAAGTGGAATCAAAGCCACGTTTCCTACTGGACACTTAAAAAGCCTCTCACTTCTGATGCTTAAAATGTAGTTTTCTTTATGGGGGTTAGTTACGTCCTAAAACTAGACTGAAGGAATAGCTGTAGAGTGTTGTACCTATATTACAAAGCTTTACACTACAGATGGGTGAATTTCATGGTATGAGAAACAGGTTTCAATAAAAGTTTCCCAAAATAAAAACAAAAGACTGAAGAGAAAAGATAAATGTCTTTAGGATGTTACAATGGGACACCTTTAAACTGAGAACACACAGTTCCTCATTGAGTGGAAGATAAGAGAACTACTGTATCATATATATAATGTGAGGACAACTCTATCTCAGATAACATTAAATATGCTTTTTAAGGGGTATTCCCAAACCTTGGCACACTGCACCCTGTTCCCATGCCCGAAGCATCCTTGTGGGTTTGGGGTGGTGGTGCTGTTTTTTTAGCTTTTTAAACGTTTCCTCATACCATCACCAACTGCTATGTCCTCTCTTGGTGGGAGCAATGGAAGGAAAATACCAGTCCAACACGACTGCAGGCGCTGAGGTTTCTCAAGAAGTTCCAGCCTACAGCCACGGGTTTTACTAGCTGGGCCACCTCCCTGCTCCATTACCCTCAAATCAGCCGGGGTGGTTGGGTTTACCTTTGGTGAAGTGTCTCACATTTTTTTCCTTCAGTCATCACAAGTTAAAGAAAAAAGTTTAGCATCTTTACAAGGTCGGCTTCATCAAAACCGCTATAAGCAGCCAATCTCAACCACACCAAAACATACTCTTTCCAATTTCCCTCCCAAAGCAAGGATTTCCATCAGAGAAATTCATTGAAAGATAATAAAACTTTCTGTCCTATTTGCAAAAATATTACAGAGCAATTTTCAAATTTCTCACCACTGCTTACTCGGTGAGGTCACTGTAGTTTTTTATTCTGAATTACCCTCCCCTCCTCCCCCCCCAAGAAAAAAATTCAGAGCGGGTTGTAGGGCTTATTTGAATTAGTGAAAAGCCAAAATTTTAGGATTCAAAGCATAATCTTTTCTAATTCACCAAAAATCTTCTAAAATAAGGGAAAAGAAAGGAAAGAAATGTCCCCAAATCTTCTCTAAACACAATCTTCACTCCAAAATACACTTAAACAAACCTAAGCGCAACACAGTATGTAATGAGCACCCTGGGCTGTGGCTCTTGGCTTCCAAGTCCGTTCGAATTCATGGGGGATCCCAAGGATCCCTCTAGAGGGCTTTCCTGACTGGGACCTTTCACATGCAAATCGCCAGGCCTGTCTTCTGAGGTGCCTCGGTGTGTATGTGTGCATTTTGAACTTCTGGCTTAGTTGTTCCACTCACCTAGAGATCCTGAGAATGTACTCGCTCAAATCACACTCACTGCCATGGATTCTGACTCCTAGCGACCCTCTAGGGCAGGGTTGAACTACTCCGTGGGTTTCTGAGACTCTAACTCTTGATGGGAGTAGAAAGCCTCATTGATCTCCTGAGGGGCAGCTGGTGGTTTCCAACTGTTCACCTTGAGGTTAGTGGCCCAATGCGTCCACTGCTTCACCACCAGTACTCCCTGAGAATATACTAGACCTAAGTCTACAAAAGGACAATAAATGTATACCCAAAGGCCACGCAGAAGTAGTCTTGGCTTTTGCAGTTTCAGTCGGGAAAACACCTACAAATCTCCGTCTTACCATGAAGCACACATATCTGCCTAGCAAACGCCGTACCCGACACCCCCCCCACAACAGAGGCCCCCCCCCCCCCCCCCCCCCTGGACACACACACACTCCCTTCTCCCTCCAAGCATAATCTTATTCAGCTCAGTTCTGTCTGGAACATAAATGACACACTGGCCTAGCCAGCCTCCCTCCTTGCCCTGTCTGCCTAGGCTTTGTGGGGATGCCGGGGTTGGGAGGTACAAAGGACCCATCTGCAAACCCAACTACTCTGTCTCGAGCTAATCCTCCATCTGAGCAGCCTCAGTGACGTCAGGCCACAGTCTGACCCATGCAGCTCAGTTCTGGCAAGCAGAAGTCAAATTGGGCAGTGCTGAGCTGCACACAGGGCACGCCTGAAACGGAGCTCTGGGGAAGCTCTCATTTCCCTGGGACTTGGGGAACAATTCTGAGGCGGAAAGGTACATTGCGAATGTTTGCTGAGATGCTATAACGAAGACTCGCGTTGCTCAGGTGTTGGCAGGTTTCCTAGTTGATGACAAACAGCCAAGTAAACAAGGAAGGTTTTCAGCGACACAACATGCTTAATTCATAACACCGCTTACTGGCTAACAGGCACCCAGGGGTGTCTCAGAGGAACAAATTATTGAGGAGCCTCTAGAACAGAATCCTACAGAAACAAAGCAGGACACCCCCACGGCTGGTTCGGAAGCCTCGTCTCCTAGAAAAATATTATCTTCAATTACTAGCCCTTCCACGAACCAAACCTTCAACACCTCACGCAACCCTACAAAACGTGCATTTACAGCCATATGCTCTAGAAATGGTCCGTCCCGCCTGTGAAATTCCCCAGAGCAATACACTCCGGAATTGTCACCTGAATCAAAAAATTGCCGAAGACACTACTCCTCTGTAATGGCCCCGCTATTTTATCAGACTCTTGCGGGATCCGTGTCTGAGGCTCGATGAAAACATCGGTCATCAAGGAAGTGAATCGTCTTCTTCTTTTTTTTTTTTTTTAAACATTTTATTAGGGGCTCATACAACTGTCATCCCAATCCATACACACACCAATTGTGTAAAGCGCATTTGTACATCGTTTCTCAAAACATTTTCTCTCCACTCAAACCCCCGACATTAGGTCCTCATTTTCTTGAGGAAGACTCTGATGTCCCTCTTCCTCAGTAACCTCATCCCGGCTCAGCACTGCCGGTGAGAGGGAGACACGGTGATGGGGGGGAGCAGGGGGGGAGGTGGGGTGGTGGTGTCAGGCACAGATGCAGGCCCATCCTAATGTGGACAGGTGTTAAGCGTTTGAGAGCAAGCAAGGGAGAACCTGTCCAAAAGAAGGCACGGGTGCAGCCTCCACAGTGCTTTTGTCTCTTGTTAGAGAGCCCTGTTGGAAGGTCATTCCTTTTTTTAGCTTCAACAGAATCCTGAAATTGGTACAGAGTGTTTTCTCACAGCCTCTCGAGAAGACCGAGAAACGTGAAAATAGCGCTCAGAGTCAGAAAGGAATCTGGGAACACAGGGATCAGGTATATAATTAGAACCAGCCATCCAAGTACTTACATTATGCAAATATCGCATTGTTGAAGGAAGTTTGCAAACACTTAGCACATGAAGGAGAAGAACCTGCCCAAGGCACCATAACATGTCATAATTCCACCTTAAGCAATACTGTATGAAAGCGGCTATTTTTAGCTTTCCCCCGGTTGTTATGGCAACCACCTCCTGGCTCCAGCTGTACACAATGTTTATAATTCCAGGGAAGTGGAAAGAGCAAGTTTCCTCTATAATGTAATTATGCACGTTCGACTTCTGCGGTCATAACACCTTAGTTTGATTACAGATACCTGTTTGGTGATAGTCAGTGGGCCTGAGGCTATGGTCCCAGAGGGGTTGGAAAATCGCATGCATCAGAGGTAGAATCAGTAAAGAAAAGGAGAAGGGAAAAAAAACACCCCCAAACCTCACCACAGCAAAGGATCTTTCTAAAAGGCTCTGCTTTGTTCAATGGAGGTACCATCCGTAGGAAAGGTGACAAGGGCCTAACTCGTGGTGAGTAACTAAGGTGGTCAGGTGGGGTTGACCTGGAGCCCTCCTTTCTTACTGGGGGAGTGAGATGGCTGGCCACTCTTGCAGGCAGCTGTCACCAGTGACAGAATTGTGAGCAGAAGTATTGTGGAACCTGCAGCAAAATCATCCCTACGACCACTTCCCTCATCTCATCTCTAAGTTAAATGCCAAGGAGCCAATGGAGAGGCTTCAAAGCTCTGGGAGAGAGGGAAGCCTGAGGTGGAAGGAGCCTGGGATCCCTGAATGAGTGGATGGAGCAGAGTCCCCAGCATTGATCCACAGTGAGGGAAAAAGAACCCTTTATGCTATTAAACCACGGAGATTGCGCATGGGCTGTTACAGCAGTTGCCTTACTCTGACTAAACACCTAGGCACTTAAAAAATTTTTAAAGAGAACATTTATTAAGTCTTTTTTTTAATCCATGTGGAAATGGATGTTCTTTTTCCTAATCCAAAGTACTGTCAAAAGGACCTCGTGTCCATTTCAGTTCACAGCCTAGGATGGCTTTTGGCCAGATCATCTCTGTGGTGCAGGGGATGACTGAATATGGCCCTTCTAGTCACAGTCTCTGTGATGCCCACACGGTGATTGGGTGGGACTGTGCCAATGAGGAGCTGTGGCTCACCAAGGGGACTGGACAGCCTGCTGCTCATTCAAACAGGTGTGTGGAATCTGTGATGGTTATGGCTACGTGTCATCTTGGGTGGGCCAAGATTTTCAGGAGCTTGGCACTTCTGAAATGATCAGTTTTGGCAGTTCTCTCTCACTGCAGGCAAGCCATTACTGTATCATGGTGTCCCCGCACTGTCCAACCCCAGGGTTTCTGAGACTGTAACTGTTTACAGCAATAGGAAGCCCAGTCTTTCTCCGTTGGAGCTGCTGGTGGTTGTGAGCTGCCAGCCATGCAGGTCCCAGCCCCATGCCTAACCCCCAGGCTCCAGGGAAGTTATATAGCGATGTAATTATTTTCTATTTAACGATCTGATGTGATTAGCCACCATTTGGTGATGTGTTGTAAACCCTAGTACCTGTGATTATGGTTGTTATGTTAATGAGGCAGGGTTAGAGTGGGATGTATGTTGAGTCCCCCATCTTAATAGAGGGTGTGACTCAAGCCAGTGCCCCATTCCAGTCACCGTCCTTACTTATTCAAGCCATATCTTTGCATTACCTTGCTTAAGCAGAGGGGATTTCCTTGAGGGTCTGGTCTGCATCAAAGACATAGGAATGCCCTGACAAAGTTCTCCCGCTGGCTCTGTAACCAGCAGCCTATCATCTGACCTGATTTGCCAGCTTCTTCAGCGTTGTGAGCAAGCAGTCTGTTGCCTGACCTGCTCATTTGGGTTTGTCAGCCCCAGCAACTGCATGAGCCAGAAGTTGCTGGCCTGAAGCTTTATCCACAGATTTAGGACTTGTCATGCTCCACAACTGTGTGAGCTATTTCCTTAATGATTCATGAGTTCTGTGACATGCTGTAGCAAATTATGGCACCCCAAAATTAGAAGGAAAATACTGAGCAGAAGAGTAATTGATGTTAAAGATGATGGAACAGTATAGCAATATGGAAAAGCTGGCCATTTAGGACATCTTCGAGATCTACTTCAGAGAACCAGTATTGTACTGAAGTTGTCTAAAGAAATTACCCATATAATTTCCCAATCTCAATTCACATCAACTCAACTTCTTACTTGCCAAAATCCAAGTCACTTTTTGTGTATTCCATGAGGGTCCCTGGGTGGTATGCATGTGATTAGCACAATTTTGAGTCTAGCCAGACACCCCTAGGAAGATCAGTCTGATGATCTGCTTCCCCCAAATCAGCCACGAAAAGCCAACGGAACACAGTTCTACATACATGGGGTCACCATGGGTTGGGACAGTGTCTGGTTACCCTGGCAAACAAAGGGGGCTAGTCTCCCCAACAGTATACTTTTTCACAAGCATTGAAATTCCGATGACTCTGTGAATCCAATATTGCTACCACACAAAACGATTTCACAACCCCTCTCTCTTTTGATATGGCTTTTATGAGCAAACATAAAACTTCTCTTTACCAATACCTCTGTGTAATTTCTGTCTTCATGGATGGATTTACTATCTTGAATTACTACCATGTCGCTTGCGGATGTCAAAGCCAGGATTAAGGTTTTTGGCCTGCCTAGTTGTACTCAGTCTACCTCAACTTTCTATCCTCTTTTTAGGGTTTGGCTCTGGTTTGGTCACTGCCAGTGCAGTACCTGACCACTAGGGGCGCCCTCCCATTGCCAACCAAGGAGAAGCGTGAAGGTCTTGGAAGTTTTACTCAGCTAAAGCCACAAAAATAGACAAACAGCACACATATGTGTACTGGAATTACACATGAAAGTACAGAGGAGCAGTTTTTCAAATGGTTTCTATGGATGGTGCAACAAAATAGATTCCTGCCCTCAGTTTTCTCATCTGGACTCTCAAGTCAAATGAGATCTGAGCCTGGTACTTAACGAACATTGGCTGCCATCCCTGCTTGAAGCTGGTCTTAGAGGCTTTTTAGCAGATGCAGGCCCCCTTGGGTCATCCCATTTCCAAGCTGTGACTTCTCTGGACCTTTTCCAAACTTCCAGCCATTTCATAGCTAGATCGAGGCTAGCCGGGCAAGCCCTACAGTCCGCACACCATCAGGCGCGCTCATGGGGCTTTAGGGGTTATCTTGGAAGGCGGAGTCATCGTTCAGGTTTCTCCAAGGAAGAAAGTAGTCACAAGTTCATGCTTCATTCGTTTCCCCCAAACAAGACCTCTTCCACATATTTCTCAAAAGGTGCCAAGGCTCATAGTGACCCTGTCTAGGATGTCTGAGGCTGCAAATCTTTACTAAGAGCAGGCAGCCTCAGTGGCTTCGAACAGCCGCCCTTGTGGTGAGTGGTCCACTCCTTAGCCCCACTGCACCACCAGGGCTACTATTGTCTCCTAGTGGAACCCAGGTCAAGCTAGAACACCCGTGGGCTGAGTGGACAGAGCCTTTTCCTCCCAGGGCTGGTATGACATCTTATAATCCCTTAGAAACAGGCCTACGTGTAGCACATGCTCCGTCATCTCCCAGTAAGAAGTGGGAAGCACAAGGTGGGTCCTTCGTTGAAGAAACTCCACTGACACAGGTGCTGACTGAGGAGTGCGGACAGCTTTAAAAAGGTATTCCCGGGAACATCCCAGGGACTCTCTCCACCCCCTCAGAAGAGCAGGCAATTGAGTTAGTGACGGTGACTCAGGCAGGCGTTTGAATCCCGGTCTAGAGGAGCCCCGGCAACCCTGGAGAGGGGAATGAAAAGGGAATCGAGGGAAAGGCTCCGCCACTCGATGACTCACTGACTCCCGCTCCACCGGGTGACTCGCCGGCACATTACTCCGTCTCCAAGACGTGGAGGCGAGGTTCATTAGTCACTTTCATGAATTTATCAGAGAGAGGATTCTCCCCTATAAATAAGAATGAACTGGGCCTCTGTAGTGTTTGTGGTGTGAGCGCGTGACTCACCTTTCTACCATGGCCGGCAGCACCAACTGTGTCATCTGCAAACGAGAAAAACAAGCGGTCATGATGGATGAGGTCGCAGGGGGAGGAGAAAGAGGCAGGAAAACCCACCCCCACAGGAGAGAAGGGAATCACAAAGCCACTCACCACATCGGCAGAGCAGTTTCCTTTCTATACTCTATGTGATTTGGCTTATAACACTGAAACGGATGAACTTGGCTAAAATTAGGCTGGTCTGAAATGGAAGAGCCGATCCTGACTCTTCTCGGACAGAGGAGGGCTGTCCAGATGGTTTCTGGGACAGTACAGCTTCCAGGAGCAGACAGCCTCATCTTTCTCCCACAGAGTAGCTGGTGGGTTTGAACCACCAACCTCGAGTTAACAATGCTTACACTCATGGAACCACCAGGGATCCTTAATACTGGCATGGAGATCTTCACACAGTAAAGGATTTATGGTGACACCTTATGGTTACTCCAGATTCATTCCGAGAACAGAATACTATATATCTTCACAAGAAACCCCTTACCCACCATGACTATACTTAAGCTTTTTAATCTCAAGTGCCCAAGTAATCTTTGCTGGCAAAAAAAAAAATTTTTTTTTTAAAGCAGAATATCAAGCAACATGTTGGCAAAGACTAAGTGTACCTTCACATTCATGTCTCTAGCTTGGTTGTTGCTGTTAAGTGCCGTAGAGCCACTTCGGACCCAGAGAGGCCCGAAGCACAACACAACCAATCACTGGCCCGTCCTGTGCCATTCCCACGCTTGTGCCCACGCTGAGCCCACTGCTGCGGTCACTTTATCAATCCATCCCCTGAGGCCTTCTACTCTGTCGATGCTTCTCTACTTTGTCCAGCACAGCGGCCTTCTCCAGGGACTGGTCTCCCCTGACCAGCATGACCAAAGGACACGAGACAAAGCCTCACTGTCCTTGCCTCCAAGGTCTTGTGAAAAAACTCCTTCTGACAGAAAGTGAAGAGGACCAGTGAGCGCTAGAAACCTAAGGGGAAAGGGCGATGGCTGCATTTTGAAAGGAACTCACTCGTGGTTGGCTAAAGACAGGTAAGATGATGAGAAAGGCTCCCTTTCAACTCTGCTTTAAGATAGTTTTAGGCAAGAAAAGTTAAGAAGTCCAGTGGCTTTAGTCAAGGTCACATGGCAAATAACTACTGAGGATGGAACAGGAATTTCCCACTCCTAGATCTCATCCATTCTCTAAGAAACAAATGCTCTTTTGTAGCACAAAGGTTTGAAGACATGCCAAACATAGGAATTTCAAGTTTTCTGTCTTGAGTAATACACTGTCTTAATCAAAGCATACAATAGTCTGATGGGGGGAGGGGGGAAATTTCCCCTAGAAATATTTTAAAGGAAGAAACATCCATCCATGGACTTTACCAAGGGGAAAACTAACAGAAATTTCTGGCCTCAGCCAATCTTTAGGCCCACAAAAAAAGAGAGAGAAAACGGTAAAACTTTGGCTTACATCATTCCATGTCATTCTCTCTCTTACATACAAGTCTGAGTTTTCCAATTAATCTCATCTTGACAGAACAATGGTGGGGGGCAGTAAAGACGGCTAACTGTCCCCCCTCCCCACCAACCCTCATTCATTCTTTGTTCCGCGGCAATAGAAAAGTTGGGCATTTGGCTTCTTTCCCACTCCCATTTTTTCCCATAAAAACTACAATTCCTATCAGTTCTGCACCACATTTGGGACCCCCGGATGGCAAGAAAGGGTTCCTGGAGCAAGTGCCTTACCCCCTCCGAGTCTTTGTCTATGACATGGGGACGGGTCCTACATCAAATCTGAATCTGAATCTCAAATGAGGCCATGTGTGTAACGGACCTAGCAGAGAGAATAGCACAGGGCAGGCTCTCGTGAGCAACTAGTGTCCATACTGTCAGCACGAGTAAGTGGTTCAACGACTAACCCTAACCCAAAGGCTGGCAGTTCGAACCTACCAGCCACTCCTCGGGAGAAGAGACCTGGCAATCTACACACATAAAGATGAGAGCCTAGGAAATCCGGGCAGTTTCATTTGTCTTATGGGTGAAATCGTTGTCAGCATGTATTGTGTTATGGGCTACAGTACCCCTAAGTATATCCAAGCCTACCTTGAAACACGTTACCGCCCAGGCATGCTGTGTGGTCATCGAATTCACACAGAAGTTTGGGGCAGTTCCATTAAATGTTTCAAATATCGCAATTCGGATCACCATGGGGTGGTCGAAATGTTCTAGAATTGGACTGCAGTGTTCTGCAATTGGAGCCCTGGTGAAGTAGTGGATCATGCGTTGGGCTGCTAGCTGCAAGGTCAGCAGTTTGAAACCACCTGCTGCTCTACGGGAGAAAGATGAGGTTTTCTACTCCTGTAAGGATTTCCAGTCTCAGAAATCCACCGGGCCCGCTCTACCCTGCCCTACGGGGTTGCTGTAAGTCAGAATGGACTTGACAGCAGTGAGTTTGTTCTAAAATTGGACTGCATGCTTTAGACAGATAAATTTTATGATTATTTAAACTGTCCCACAGTAAAGTTGTTAAGTGAAAAGAATTGTTTCCATAATCACACGGGTAAGAAATAAAGAATTGGAACCACTAAGTACTATCTGATGCTACTTTATCAAGCACAGGAGGTAAAGGAACACTATAGACTTGTAGCCTAGAGCAACACGAAGCAGGAAAGAGCCATTCTTCTGTTCTTGAGAAAGTATTTAGCCTTAAAGATCTGGGCCACTGTCCAGTGGGAAAGCAGAGAAAGAAATCTCTACCACCCGATGCTGTGCAATGGTACAACAGACACCAGGGCAGAGGGCACCGGCAGAAGAAGCAACAGCTCTGTCTGGGGAATGGGGCAGAGTTTTGCAGATTACATTTCAATTAAATTCAGAAAGAATAAATTGTAAGTAGGAGCTGATTCAAACCAAACACACTGCCATTGAGTCAATTCCGACTCACAGCGACCTAGATGAAGGAGAACTACTGGTATGGCACTGGGACTGGAAATCCTTGTTTGTGGTGGTAATAGGTGGTCCAGCGCATCGTGATCCTATGTACAAAGCACAAAACACGGCCTGGGCCTTTACCATGCCCACAGTTGGTCTTGTTTGAGCCCAGTGTTGCAGCCACCTTGTCAATCTATTTTCAAAGGTCTGCCTCCTTTTTTGGCTGACCTTCTAGTCTACCAAGGATGATGTCCTTTTTTCCAGGGACTGGTCTCTCCTGATGACTTGTCCAAAGAATGTGAGATGAAGTCGAGCCATCTTGCTTCTAAGGAATATTCTGCCTTTACTTCTTCGCGGACAGATTTACTTGTTCTCCTGGCAGTCCCAAGTACTTTCAATATTCGTTGTTAGTACTGTAATTCAAATTCATCGATTTGTCTTTGGTCTTCCTTATTCAATGTCCAACGTTCACATGCATATGAAGAGCTTGAAAATACCATGGCTTGCGTCAGGCACACCTTAGTCCTCAAAGCAACATCCTTGCTTTTCAGCATTTTAAAGAGGTCTTGCACAATAGCTTTACCCAGTGCCGTGCATCCTTTGATCTGACTGCTGCTTCCATGAGTGTTGATTGTGGATCCAAGCAGGACAAAATCCTTGGCAATGTCAATCTTTCCTCCATTTATCAGGATGTTATTTACCTATTAGTCCAGTTGTGAGATGTGTTTTGTTTACATTGAGTTGTTATCCATACAGAAGGCTGCAATCCTTGATTTTCATCAGCAAGTGCTTCAAATCTTCCTCCTCACTTTCAGCAAGCAAGGTTGTGTTACCTGCATATCACAGGTTGGTAGTAGGCCTTCCTCCATTCCTGACGCTGCATTCTTCTTTATATAAGTAACTCAGCTTCTCTGATGATTTGCTCAGCATATCATCTTTATGCGAATAGAAAGCCTCACCTTTCTCCTTCAGAGCAGTTGGTGGGTTCAAACTGCTGATCTTGAGGTTAGCAGTCCAACATGTAACCTACTATGCCGCTAGGGCTCTCAGGGAGGAAGAAGAACCATTGACAACTACTTCACTCTACGTAGATCGACGATCAACGTCCATGGAAGCAGTCCAGGAATCAAATGATGTATTGCACTTGGAAAATCTGCTACAGAAGAATGCTTCACAGCTTTAGAAAAGCAAAGATGTCGGTCGCATTGAGGACACAGGTGCTTCTGATCTGAGCGAGGGTCTTTTCAGTTGCTTCACGTGCATGCAAGAGTTGGACATGAAAATGGGAACCAGAAGAACCGATAGGCTCCAATTAGGGTGTTGGTGAAGAAGAATGAACGTGCCGTGCCATAAAGAGCAAGCATATGGGAAACAGACAAATCCGTCTTAGAAGAAATACAACCAAAAGTTCCTTACCGGTAAGGATGGCAAGGCTTTGGTTTGCTTACTTTGGACACAGCAATAACAATAGCAGGCTTTGTCCCCCCGCACTATTTGAAGACCTGATTTACTGGGATAAACTGAACACTAGGAAAACCAAATTCTCACCATTCACCGGAGGCTGCCAGATACCATCGGAGAGGGCAGGGGAAAATGAGGGAAGCCTCTAGATGAGACAATGGACTCAAACCATCACTGACCGAGAAGACGGTCAGAACTGGGGGCAGGCAGCATTGTTAACCTCTTATGAGGAAGCTCCCCAGGAGTCAGAAGAAAGAAAAAGGAAAAAAGTTACTAGGAGGGAAATAATGCCAAGAGTCAGGTTGCTGAGAAAAACAACAAGGTGCACCTTGAAGGGCTTTTTGTTGAATGATTAATGTAAGGCTATCCAAGGCAAAAAAGAGGGTCCCATGCTGTTACCAGTTGCCCTTGCATTTAGCCCCACCTCCTGGACTGCCTTCCATGCTAAGACAGACAGATGCACACCAGGCCTATGAAGACGCATGGAGTGTTCTATTGTAAGATAGTTTATATGCATCCTTAACAGTATCTGAGAACATTTTTTTATTAAGCACATTTCATAAGGGGACCATAATGCTCAGCTAATGTATCGTTATTATAAAGAAGTCCCCAAGCATTTAGTGAAG